CAACCTTGCTTAACTATCAGATCACCACACAGTGTTAACAAACAGATTTTTTTAAAATAGCAATTTATACCTTTACACAAGGCCTGATGAGTCAACATACAAAAGCTTAAACTGATACTTTCTGCAAACACCCAGACAGGGTAGGGACTGGTAATACAGAGAGGTTGGACTAGTTTGAATCCCTTTTTATGGTTTCTGGAAAAGCTTCTGATCAAGAGAGCTGAAAGCTGGCAATACAGGTTTTGACATAGGAAATCATATGTAAGCCACAGGATAGGTATTTCCCTTTTAAAATATCAATGAAAACCCATGTTCCTCTTCCAACTGATCCCCACCCAAGGTCTACAATTTAGATCCACACTCTGTAGTTCTAGGGTCACCAAAAATATTAAGAAGACTTTGCGAACAAAGATTGCCTATACCTACTCTTGATGCTGTTGAACTGTTATTCTCAATAGTGGTAATGCTACCACCCAGAGTCCATTTAGATTCGGCTGTTTGCAAGTATGATGGCATCTCACTTCAGAAAAGGCCACATTTGGCGCACTAGCCTAAGTTTAGGGGGGGGGGGCAATAAAATTCTTGGTCACAGCGTATATCTGGTATTAAAGTAGGATCCATGCCCAGAAGAGCCCTTGGACTTCATCCTGTTCTTTCTAGAGAAGTGAGGATTTCAAAGTTTTAATTAATCCATATGATTATTTGATAAATCACCATTCTGTATTAAATTTAATCTGTACTGGTTTCTTCCCATCCTATTCCCCACAGACACTATGTAAAGCCCACTTCAAGCCCTTTCTTAATCACAGGTAGAAATGTAAAATGTACCTTGTGTATCCAATCACATTTGGCCAATAAAGAATTCTATTCTATTCTATATTGCTGATATCTTATCTCAGATGACAGACGACCTTTCCCAGCAGTTTTAAATAGTTAAATAGAATGAAGGAAATTTCCAAAGCGCCACCTCCCCTGCCCTTGCCCAGATTTCAGCAATACACACTAGGACTGCCTTTTTGTCCTTGATTAAATAGAGGAATATAGCATTGCTGAACAAATATCTTGCATTTAGCAGCAACAGACCAGACTATGATTCCCAGAAATTGGGAATAGCACTGAATTGCTGATCCTTCTTGCCTGGAACAGCCCATCCAATGCTCCACATAATGTTGTTTTTACTGCTCACTGTTACAATCCTTCGCCCAATTTACTTCTTCTTACTCTACCTTCTCTTGCCTCTTGAGAGTATTATTCCACCAAATACAGCAGCCTTAAAAAAAATAACACAACAGCCTCACCCCCCACCCCCCACTTTTCACAGCACAAAGTCAAATCCCAGCCCTTCCCAGAAGCTGTTTGCAAAGAAAGGGACCTTTCTTGGCAAAGAGTGGACTGACTGTGAGTGGCAGAAAAAGGGAAAAGGGAGGTGAGTGTTGAAAAGGGCTGAAAAAGGATCAGTGAAAAGAAGCACTTGAATGTGCTGCAGTCCCTTTTAAGTTGCTTTGTGCTTTTTCATTTTTCCACACAAAGCCAGCCACATATGGCCTAGCATCCAGGTTGGGCATGTCTTGTCATCAGTGGGAGAAAGAAGATGGATGCAGGAGTCAAATGGAGAGTGCAGGGCAACCGGGACTGGGCTGGGACAACTGAGGTTTCCTGGGATGTGGAAAGCAACCCAAAGCCACACTGTTCTCATGCTGCCTGCTGTCCTGAGAGGTAAGGTGGTCAAAAAAGCATAGATGAGGGAAATAGGAAGGTGTGGTTGCAGGTAATCTCTTACCTCATTGAGAGTTGGGTCTGAGAAGGACCAAGCCCAGAATGGCTTGAATTGGGATGGATCCTCTGTTAATGACCAGTAGGATTCACTTCAAGACAGCCATAGGGATTGCCATTGCTAAATAATGTAAACATGTGATGTGTTACTTTACCACAGCATTGGTTATTGACCAAAATTACGGTTCCAATTATGGTTGTAAATTTAGTACTTTAGTGGACTGTACTCCTTCTGAACCCCAGTCTGTAGATATATATCTTGGATATCATCATCATATCTAGCAGCTTCATGTAAATATGAAAAGGAATAGAGAAGCATTCCCTGCTGTTTTATCAGTTTAAGAACTGCTACCTCCTTGATTCAGAATGGCTTCATGTTATAGACATTACTATATTCAAAGGAAGGAAAGCAAAGCTGATTAAATTATCAGGTATTTTGCTTCTAGTTTACGAGTTTCCACTAGAAATGCATCTCAATGTTTCCACCCCATTGCAATTATGAGGACTAAGTCTGCTTTTCTACAGAAAGCTGGAAATGAAGGTCCAATTCCCCATATTAATAGGTACATATTTACATATAAAGTACTTGACCTCACAGGAAGAACAATGTTCTTTTTAAGAAGTATCTTTTTGTTCTCATTTAAATTAGCTAAGAATTTTGCCTGCATAAAGTCTTAAACACAGTAACTGCTCATTTAGCAACTATTTTAATTGTCAAACAATCACAGGTCTCTCTTTTTCTGAGTAGAAGGGACTCATCGAAGGACTGAGTCTAAAGCTTAAACCCAGTCCTCGCAATGAGTGGGTGAAGGTTAACCCAGTCTGGATGCTGCCTCCACCACTAGGGAGAAATCTATGTTTTCAACCCTTCATTTAGGAAAAGCATTGTTACTAAAATATAGTAACATATAGTCACCAACTTCCAGTGGCTCTGGGCCCTTTACAAATGATTTAAGACATAAAAAATGGCAATAAAAACAAAAAGAAACAAAAATGATAGATGGCAGGAGAACAAACTAGGTAGAAGCAAAAGAAAACAACCTAAATTAAAAGGAGGCCTTAGTCATTCTCCAAAGGTTTGAGTGAACAGTCAAATCGACAAGCAAGGTTTCATTGTAAGTAATTGGAAAGATAATTTTGTCTTTAAACCTTAAATGAAAGAAAGAATCTACTCCATGCCCTGCTTACTTTAAATAGATACTTTAAAAAGCTCATAAAGCCATTTGTCATCAAAAAATTGAAATGGGAAATCATAAGGGACCTCATAACCCATTACTGGATCCCAAAGAGTAACTGCACCAACTGTAAGAGCTGCCACTATGCAATGGGAAAATGGGATCTTTGACTAACTACAAGTGAAAATACATCCATGGGAAGAATAGAGAACTAAGCATCTCCATTATCAGCTGACACAACATCTCAGGTCAAGACTAAAGGATCGAAGAGTACATTGTTCCCACAGAACCTCTCTTAATAAGCAGATAACTTATTTGTGCTCTAGGCAGCTGCTCCTTATGAACAGACAGGACAGCAGTTTCCCCAAAAGTTTTGAATCTACAGGTAGGAGACAAAGGGAAGCCAACATGCTTTCAACTGTGGCAGAGCCTTTGAAAGATATTGGTTTCGTTAACCTCACTTTTTGGAATCTAACTATTTTAAGGAACACAGAGAACTTCAAAATGACAAGTTTGAAAAATTACCTGTAAATTTACCTTACCCTTCAATAAAGGATAAATGAATGCTTAAGAATGTAAAGAATTGGAAATGAATGTGAAAAACCTAAGTAAGATTTTGATCTAAGTTATAAATGAATTAAAATACTAGACAAATTTGAATTATTAGAACTCTTACTATAAAATTTTGGAGACAATTAAATAAACACACGCCATAGAAACAGTGGGCGCTAAATTGTTTAGTCTACCCTAACAAAAACTAATGACTTTATGAGTTCAGAAATTGGAACCAAAGATTCCAGGACGAAAGAAAAAAAAGGGGGGGGAATGAAAAGCCTTATGTTTTTGTAAACTGATAGAAAATGCTGCGATATTTGAAATACTCCAGGGGATCTTTGAAGAATAGAGTAGAAAACAGCAGTTACAAATCAGCAATGATGCTTCTATGGATAGACTATTTTCCAAAAAAGGAGTTAAAGAAAATATGACCGAAATAAAGGAGACAGGGTAAAAGATCTTGCAAAAAAAGGTGAAATACATTTTTAGAAAAGAAGTTTCAGAATAAAGAAGTGAAATGTTTTCTTGATGCAGAAAAATCAGAACATAATGAAATTGAAGAAAT